ACTGGGGGACATGATGATGATGTCAACTGTTTAACCTACGGGAAACAAGGGTGGACACATTATAATGAACGATGATATAATTAGCTTGATAGCATCACCAGGGCCCTAAATACTCATAGAAAGGCTTTGGAGCCAATTTTTAGGTTCATGCTGCGCTTGACCAAATTATCACCTGACCAGGGGCGTGGCAAGGGTCTGTAGTGCCACCAGATACAGCGATATGTAAAGCGTTTTGCCGCCCCTCTCTCCCAACCACAACAAAAAAAAAACAACAACAAAAAACAAAAAACAACAAAACTGTGGTTGCCCGAAATAGGCGCTCCATCATATTAACGAGCGTACCGTCGTCACTGACCAATCTAAATCAACTTGTCTAAACAGAGTAATGACTCCGAGGTACAGTGTGCTAGAGCCAGACAAAAATGCTCTGACTGGTAACGCAGTTGACAGCATGAAATTGCGCACACTGTTACTATTAAGGTAACTTTAAGATATTCCTGAAATACTTCATTTACCTTCCGGCAGGACCATTCAGACGATTTTTAGGCCCCAAGAAAATTAATTTTACTGAGCAAATTTTGCCCCCCCCCCCCTTTTTTTTTTTTTTTTTTTTTTTTTTTTTTTTTTTTTTTTTTTTTTTTTTTTTTTTACAAATTTTAAAATATTTATATCAAACAGGATGCTGTCTCAAGCTGTTGACAGCGCTTTATCCGTCGCCGGTTCCAGTATCATGACGCGTGCCGGTCATTGAAATTCCGAGCCCCGATGTGATCCATTTTGAGATCCACTGCATTTTTTCGAAACCTGTGACCACACCAGCGCAAGGGAAGACAAATTTTAGTTTCAGTTTCGGTGCTTATTCTGGAAACGGTGTTATCTCGCCAGAACGTGGCACGGTTGACTTGACTCACAGCACGACAACCAGTCACAGGACGCCGTGAGACAGGGCTGTCTCACACTGAGCTGAACTCAAGTCTTATTGAGCTGAACTAAAGTCTTGTTGAGCTGAACGAAAGTCTTGTTGAGCTGAACTAAAGTCTTATGTTAGTTACGTTCATAGACCCACCTATATCAGAAATGTTGACATCAGGACAAAACCAACTACCGTCTATATCAAAACCTAATTTCGTGGTGAAATATGCACAAGACTCATAGGTTGGTTGAATAATCTTCTCGGGCCCTTTGAATGTACACATAATTGAATATATTTTGGGGGTTGGGGATCGTCGGTGCGTGGGGGGGGGGGTGAATTCACTGGGAATTGAAATCCTATCAAAAAGTCTGCAGAAGACATAGTTTAGACTGATCTTTTTTTTAGAACTAAAGCTAAAAAGATAATATACGTCTACTAAAAGCGTTTTTTTATGGAACAAAAAATGTATTTCAAAAATTTGATTTTCTGAAAAATGTGAAGAATTATTTAGCTATGGCAACACGGAAATAGTTTTTGATCAATAAAATGATTGTATAGTCAACAATGTTCTAACTATTTTTTTAACTGTACATGTTTGTTTTAGTAATGTTGATCATGGGCTCTAGAATTAATTACCAAGCCAATGCCATGCAAGGTAATGGGTGAGGGGGTAATTTGGCTTCCAACACTGAACAAAAAAAAGGGGGGGGGGCATAAATACCCTTGACCTATAGTTGGATATAACAAAATAATTATTTTTTAAAAAATTACAAGGCCCAAAACCGATGATTTGCATTGCGATTTTCAAGCTGAACAAGTTGCTTCCCTTGATGATTTTTAGTTCTAGTCTCGCGTAGTCCCGAAAGGTTAACAGGAACTTAGAAACACAATTTTTAACTTTACATTTTTTTTAAAACTTTGACATTTTATGTTTCGTGTAAAAAAAAAACAACCAACCACAATGTTATAAATATAAATAAAGATGGTAGTCAACATCCTACCTCAACTTTCCCCACCACAAATCCCCCGCCACAATACCCCCAGCCTATAATTCCCCACCCTTCATCAAAGTCCAAAGGTCACTCCAGCACCCAACCCCCCTTCCCCACCACAACTACCCCCACCACAACTTCCTCACCACATCTCCCCCACCCAAATCAACCAGAAATCACGTAGATGGATAATGTTCGATAATCCGATAAAGACAATGAAATAAAGGAGAATCTACGGTTCATTATACATTTCATTAAAAAATAAAAAATATCTGCAAGTCTGTAAAGTGTCTTTGAAATGCTTCCGCCCCTGGATTTTATTGCTCGTTTCGGGAAAAAACTAGGTTAAGTCAACCATAATTGTAGAGCACGTGTTCGATACCTTAATACTTACTGGTTTTGAAAGGGTTAAGGACAATTTTAAACCCTTGTTTTTTTTGTGTGTGTGTGTGTTTTTTCTCTGCATTTTTGCTACAATCGTTGACGTGTGTTAAGCCGCGTGACCGGTGTGAACGATTCGACTTTCAGTCGAGACTCTCTGGCTCCTACTGACAGACGAAGTCAAAGTCTAAGGCAACGAAAGCCCAGCAACTATTGAAATAGGAATAATAAAACCAAGTAATGTAATCCGAATGAACATTAAAATGACTTTCATAATAAAAAAAAAACCAAATGTGTTTTAAATTTAATTTAAAAATAAAATAAATTAAACGTTTCTCAAAAGTTTGACTCCACTATTGGTTGCTCGCTGCCTGTCTTAACGTGGGGCGCAGTGTGTTGGTGCGACGCGAACTGCGCGGGGTCTTGAGGAGAAATATGACGCTTTGCAAACAAACATCCATTTTATTGAAAAGATTAAAAGCGCCGAGAAGCTAAAACAAGCGAAACTGAAAAAAAAAGAAAGGAAAAAAAAAAAAAAAGAAGAAGATAAAAAAAAAGAAGCAAACTGAATTTAATTTGGTGCACAGATGCACCGACACTGAGTCATGAGGGCATCAAACCAGTCTAGTGGCGTAGGAAGTGGGCGGAGGGATTGGTACACCCCCCCCCCCGGGGCGAAATTTGTTCTTTATAGAAGACTGTCGGTCTGATTTAAAAAAACAACAACAAAAAACGATGTAATATTGATACTGTCCACCATCATTTTCGATGTATGCAGAATGTATTCGTGAACGAATTTCAAAATATCTAAATATTTCAGTTTCGGCTTCGGTCTCGGTTTCGGTTGAAATTCTCGTTAAGCTTTTGGTTTTGGCATAAACGTGTCAGCCGAAAGTCATTTTTAACTTTCGGCCTGGTTTCGATTTCGGTCGAAATCAGAAAAAAATCACTTTCGGTCGGTCTCTACGGCAAACATCTAGTTACGCTGTTGTCATCAACGGAGATGATTAATCTTTTAGTCGACAAAAAGTGGTGAAACTCCGCCTGAGGTTTGGGATGTGCCCTATCTTCACTCACAAGCACGCCGACAGGTGACTGGGCATACGGCGTTATATGTACTATGCGCCGATTGTGATATGTTGTAACTTGAGGGACTTGTACAGCGTGACATACTGACTGGGGCAGTGGAACGGATCCACAGGAACTAGATTACGTTTCCCGCATAGGTGGAGGGAATCTCATCTCTTCGAAACTTGGCCCCCCATAATAATAAGTCTTCGATGAATTGTTTTCCTTATTTTGAATAGTATTTCTTTAAGATGTTCGGTGATTAAATTCTAGTTTCTTTTCGATCTTGAAATCTTGACCGCTTAAGCATTCTTTACAAATATAATCCTTTACTTTCAAAGCGGGAAACCATAATATTTTCTATGAGAGATTCCGTTCATGGTTGTATCTCTCTGTGATAACATAGGCGATTGAGACTGGGTTTTAAGGAAGGGTGAACTGGTCTGAGGGTTGGGGTCCGGTGGGGGGCTAAGTGTTTAAATAAATGTCATAATAACTGTCACTTGCCCATTTAATTAACTTAAGTGACTTCTATTGCTGCCCACAGATACTACTTACCAGCTAAGTGCTATTTCTTATTTTTATTTTTATACCGTTTTTTTTTCTGTCGTTTTGTTCGCTGACGAAGGCTTTCTGCCGACACGTTCGCTGTTTTGTTGCGTTTATTTTTTCAGGTTTAACCCTACTCTGTTTTACTCATTTTATTTTGTACTAACCTGATTGCAGTCTCTCCCCTTATTACCCCAGAAGAGTGGAGGGCTGGTAGAAATGTGGGGCAACATAGATTTAGAAGACTGGGGACACATAGCTGGTAGAAGTGTGGGGCAGCATATATGGTATGACCGTGGGGCAACATAGCTGGTACGACAGTGGGGCAGCACAGCTGGTATGACAGTGGGGCAATACAGCTGGTATGACAGTGGGGCAACATAGCTGCTATGACAGTGGGGCTACATAGCCTTAGCTGGTATGTGAGTGGGGCAACATAGCTGGCAGAAGGATAGGACATTAATAAAAAAATACAACTCAACAAATGACAAATTATACTTTTAATTTAATTACTTTTTTTTTTTAGTTCTGAGCAGTAATAAATGTTAAAAAATCCAGCTCTGCTCCAGCTACGGGCAAACAGACCCTGCCCCAGCTACGGGCAAATAGATCCTGCTCCAGTTACGAGCAAACAGATCCTGCCACAGCTACGGGCAAATAGATCCTGCGCCAGTTACGAGCAAACAGATCCTGCCCCAGCTACGGGCAAATAGATCCTGCGCCAGTTACGAGCAAATAGATCCTGCTCCAGCTTCGGGCAAACAGACCCTGCTCCAGAGATCCCAAGCTCCGCTCCAAATCCCTGATTTAAACGCTAGGGGTTAAATCTCCCCCATCCTCCCCTGCATCTGAATACGCCTGTGGTCTGGTGACACCTTTGCATTCAAATATATAAACATTTATCTAGCGCTTTAAAAGAAATAAAAAGATCATTGACTCCCTGATTTGACCCTATGGAACCCCAGCTTGTTTACAACCCCCCTCCCGGAAAGCTTCCATTCATTTTCAGTAGACCAGTGGGCCCCAAGATGATAACGGCTCTCTAGAGATAACTAATCTCGCCAAGCCCAATAGCCCCCCTTCACGTCGAGCAAACCACTGACCCAGGTTTCAATGAGACCAGCAGTGGTCAAAGGGTTGGTTGCTACCAGATCGTGCCGCAGAAGATAAATTTTTTTATTTCCAGTGCACTTTAAGACGGTTAAATTCTGCGTCTGTGTTGCCGTGGGGGTCGACGCGGGCCCGTGGCTAATGGACAGGTCAGAGTTCAAACTTTGAGATAGTGAAGCGAAGACTTAACGACGCTCGCATGGCCCTGTGTTCAATTGGTTTCTTAACTTTAAATAAAGTTTTTAAAAAAAACAAGGATTACAATCAGATTGCGAATTTTAACTTTGAAGTTGTTGTTTGTAGCATGATGCCGGAGAAATCGTAACAAGTAAAAAAAAAAACAACAACAAAAAAGACTAGGTTCATCACATCTCAAACACGATGGGAGAAGTACCGGTAGACAAAGGTATGGACAGAATGACTATAAAATAATAAAAACAACAACAAAAAAGACTAGGTTCATCACATCTCAAACACGATGGGAGAAGTACCGGTAGACAAAGGTATGGACAGAATGACTATAAAATAACTTCACACATCTTTTTTTTTTTTTTTTTTTTTTTTTTGGTTTTTTTTTTTTTTTTTTTTTTTGGGTGTGTTTTCTACAAACAAACTACTGTTTTGAAAACCGTTTGTAGACTCAGCCCGTATGTATTCCCGGATAACATTTATCATAGGAAATAAGGTTTAAAAACGCTTTAAAAAAAGTATTTCCTTCAACAACGTCATCAATCAAGTAATACAAACCATGATATATAATGTATCTGAGTGTTTCATTTGAGAGTAACAACATGACTCCTTACTTTACCGTCTCCTGTGTGATTTTTTTACAGGAGCCGGTCTTATGGTAATCGGAATGCCTTAAAAAGACTCGGATAATCTTGGGAGTTGGTTTCATGACGGGAGAAGAGTTCTCCTCTCCCACCCACCCCCATATTATGCATGATCGTGGCAATAACAACGTAGCAATAAAATATGTCACATAAAATATGGGGTATGTAAGGTGACAAATGAAATCTGTTATATAAAATACGGGGTATGAAAGGTGACAAATAAAATATGTCACATAAAATAGGGGGTATGTAAGGTGACAAATGAAATCTGTTATATAAAATACGGGGTATGAAAGGTGACAAATAAAATATGTCACATAAAATATGGGGTATGTAAGGTGATAAATGAAATCTGTCATATAAAACATGGGGTATGTAAGGTGACAAATGAAATCTGTCATATAAAATACGGGGTATGTAAGGTGACAAATAAAATATGTCATATAAAAAATGGGGTATACGAGATGACAAACTGAAATCTGTGATCTAAATACGGGGCCACTAGCTAAATTAAACATTAACTCACATGTCGATCTTAAGTTCGTTGTTTAGTTTTTAGGTATTTACACAGCTATTATTCGTGCTATAAAATATCATTCGAGTACTTGCCCCCCAGGGGCATCTACACAGGGGGAAAGGGGGGAGGGGGGGTTGAAGACGCCCTTGCTTTCTACAGTCGCAAGCTAAACTCTTATTTTCTAACTCTCATTTTCTAACTCTCATTTTCTAACTCTCATTTTCTAACTCATTTTCTAACTCTCATTTTCTAACTCTCATTTTCTAACTCTCATTTTCTAACTCTCATTTTCTAACTCTCATTTTCTAACACTCATTTTCTAACTCTCATTTTCTAACTCTCATTTTCTAACTCTCATTTTGACCCCATCAAATTCTATTTTTGTCGGTTTTTTTTTTTTTTTTTGTTAGTTTTTGGGCTCAATTTTATTTTTTTTTTTTTTTTGTTGTNTTTTCACACAAATCTCTACATTATTACGACGATTTTATCCCATGCGTGTCATTATAACTTGTAAAGCCGGTCTACTTTATTTTAATTAAAAGATGCTGACAACTGTGAAAGTTATTTGAAAAACCAAATATTACAATCTCACAATATTTTCAAAATTTCTAAACTTTAAAAAAAAAAAAAAAGAAAAAAAAGAGTAGTATCTTTTCCCTTACACGGCGCTACATTAGAACCTTAGATAGTGGAAGGCTGAAACTAGAAAGACATGACGGTAAAAGGAGAACGTTTCGGCTAAAATCCCATTAAAAAAAAATGTAAGCTTCCAAAAACCTTGTTCACTTATTTCCTTCACAAAGATTGAACGCATCCTTTATTTGTTATCCATTTACCACACAACCTGTTAAATTCTGTTGAATCCACTAAGAATCCCCAATGGCAGCAGGCCTGTATTCACCATCCTACATTATCCACACAACCACACAACCTGTTAAATTCTGTTGAATCCACTAAGAATCCCCAATGGCAGCAGGCCTGTATTCACCATCCTACATTATCCACCAAGAATCCCCAATGGCAGCAGCCCTGTATTCACCATCCTACATTATCCACCAAGAATTCCCAATGGAAGCAGGCCTGTATTCACCATCCTACATTATCCACCAAGAATCCCCAATGGCAGCAGGCCTGTATTCACCACCCTACATTATCCTCTAAGAATCCCAAAATGACAGCAGGCCTGTATTCACCATCCTACATTATCCTCTAAGAATCCCAAAATGACAGCAGGCCTGTATTCACCATCCTACATTATCCTCTAAGAATCCCAAAATGACAGCAGGCCTGTATTCACCATCCTACATTATCCACTACGAATCCCCAATGACAGCAGCCCTGTAGTCACCATCCTACATTATCCACTAGGAATCCCCAAATGACACCAGCCCTGTATTCCCCATCCCACATTATCCACTAAAGATCCCCCAACCACAGCAGGAATGTATTCACCATCCTCCATTCTCCACAGCCCCGCTATTCTTCTCCCAGCGACTTGTCCTGGCATTCCTTGCTTTCCTCGGCAACCTGCTCGTCTACACGACCAGGGTCAACATCTCGGTGGCCATCATTTGCATGGTGCGCACCCCGACGGTCAACATCACGGACCTCAACAACCTCACCGACATCATCGGTCGGAACACCTCGGCGGCCGACGGCGTGTGCGGTGGGGACAGCAACGCGGGGGTGGACAAGGACACCAACGATGTGAGTCATTTGAAAATGAGACTTTTGAGCACACATACTTGAAATCATAAGCAAGTCATCTATTGAGCACATACTTGTAATCATAAGCAAGTCATCTATTGAGCACATACTTGTAATCATAAGCAAGTCATCTATTGAGCACATACTTGTAATCATAAGCAAGTCATACTTTTTTTGATTTACCTTTATGTTTTTGAGATAAAAAATACACATATTCGTTTACACACACGCACACACACACACGCACACGCACACACACACACACACACACACGCACACACACACACACACACACACACACACAATAATAAAACGTCCCTTCTGTCTATATTAGTCTCGCTATCTCTATCTGCTAAGAAACCTGGAGGGCTTTATATGGAAATAAAATTCGAACGTTCTAGTAGCGAAATCTAGAAATCGCGTCACCTATTAGCGTTCTTAAGAACAGATTGAACGCATTCGAATGTAAACATGCTTTTCCCCTCAGCCAGGACAGTGTCGGGCAGGGAAGGTTGACACAACACAGCTGCACAATGACATCAACGTCAATGTCAGTCTCGCAGAAAAGTTGCGATGGCTGAAAAAAAAAAGTCTTCATGTTGAAGTTTAAAAATGAGCGAAGCCCTCCGCTATACTTGGCTATGTAACACGTGTAATCATAACAGAGCATACTTGTCATCATAACAAAGCATACTTGTCATCATAACAGAGCATACTTGTCATCATAACAGAGCATACTAGTCATCATAACACAGCATACTTGTCATCATAACATAGCCTACTTGTCATCATAACAGAGCATATTTGTCATCATAACAGAGCATACTTGTCATCATAACACAGCATACTTGTCATCATAACAGAGCATGCTTGTCATCATAACACAGCATACTTGAAATCATAACAGAACATACTTGTCATCATAACAAAACATACTTGAAATCATAACAGAGCATACTTGTCATCATAACACAGCATACTTGTCATCATAACAGAGCATACTTGTCATCATAACAAAGCATACTTGTAATCATAACAGAGCCTACTTGTCATCATAACAGAGCATATTTGTCATCATAACAGAGCATACTTGTCATCATAACACAGCATACTTGTCATCATAACAGAGCATGCTTGTCATCATAACAGAGCATACTTGAAATCATAACAGAGCATACTTGTCATCATAACAAAGCATACTTGAAATCATAACAGAGCATACTTGTCATCATAACAAAGCATACTTGTAATCATAACAGAGCATACTTGTCATCATAACAAGCATACTTGTAATCTAAAAAAGCATACTGGTAATCATAACAAAGCATACTTGAAATCATAACAAAGCATACTTGTATTCATAACAAAGCATACTTGTAATCATAGCAAAGCATACATGTAATCGTAACAAAGCATGCCGATAATTGTAACAAAAACCAGCCTCAGACAGTAGCAATGCCACAAACGACCGTACAAACATTGTTACCGTTACATACATCAAATCGATCCATACTGGCATACGGTGAACGTTTGGGTTCCAATTTTTCATTCTACTTTATTTTGCACCAGCTCTACTTCAAGCCATTAGATAATAAAGTATCATCATTTAGTTGGTCTAAATTTTTTTCACAGAGAGCTGAGTTCGACTGGGACAAAGCCACTAGATCCGAGCTGTTGTCTATGTACTTCTACGGCTACATCTTCACACAGATACCAAGTACGTCTTTCAGCGGGATGAATTGTACACCTATCTAAGATAAGATAAAGTTAAGATAAGATGAGATTCTTTATTGATACAAATAAATGGAAATGTTCTTTGATGACATTGGACACATTCATTTTCAGCATGAAAATAAGTACATATTTTAAGCAAATCGTTCCCCCCAAATCGTGGTCCGAGGACCGGTACATGCCCGCGAGCCTTAAGTTCCGGTCCACACAACTTGAATGCTTGTGGTCAAGTAAAAACGAAATAGAATTGATAAACCTGGCGCCGGTCCCTGGTGCATTTCCACAATTGTCCCCCGATCTGCCAAACTTAAAACATTTTGTGAAACACTGTCCTAGACAACTGACGCTCTTAAGTGCAAGAAACTGTAACCATTAAAATATGTCGTCGACTGTTCACTTCCCTTGTACACTTTCATATTGCATCTTTTCATTATATATGCTTGTATTGCATGCTTGCATAGTGTGTGCTTTCATTGCATGCTCGCATTGTTTACTTGCGTTGATCAGGTGGGTGGCTGGCGTCTCGCTACGGCGGGAAACGGGTCTGGGGGTTCTTCATGCTGATCTGCTCGCTGTGCACCCTGCTGACCCCGGTCAGTGCACGGATCCACGTGCACATGGCGTACGCTGTGAGGTTCATACTTGGGTTCGCAGCGGTGAGTATTTTAAGCAGCAGGTTAGCTGGCATGACCAAGACGGTGGGACCTGAGTATTCGCATTTTAGGGACATTTCCCAGGAGATAGCCCACCACTTGATTTACATTTTATTAAGAGATATTGTTTTTCTTTGACAACTTTGTTCTTTCACTTATTGAAAAATGTATAGTTACGTTTGAAAATTGTTTATAAGATAAAGTTGTACTATCATTATTAAATATATATATATATATTAATATATTAATATTATGTGTATAAAATTTTCATAGTTTTCTAAAAAATTATCCAATATTCCACAGGGAGTTACCTTTCCTTGTGTGCACGCCATGTTGGGGAAGTGGTCGCCGCCCTTCGAAAGAAGCAAGATGGCGTCTTACACTTTTGCAGGTTGGGATAAAATTAGAGACGTTCTTTCTTTCGTCTTACCTTACAGTAAAATAAGTATTTTTGATATTGCATTTGAAGGCTATATTATTAGTCCACATCTGCCCACATTTTCAACCTGACATCTCTGACTGTGGAGTGTGATTCGCCAACTCTGTTTTTCGTACCCAGTCATTCTATCTTCATATGTCTACCTTAGAGGTCGTTCGCAAATGACGTCGCGCTAAAAATAACCTTTTTAGACCCTTCTCTTCCCTGTCACAAATTCTCCCCCCCCCCCCACCCCAGCCCCCCAGTGTCACGTCACACCCAAAAAAAACAACAACAAAAACAAACAACAACCCAAAACATACATAAAATGTGAATAATTAAACTAAGAGTTCATTTTATTCCTTAACATTTTCCCATAATGGATTAAGATGTATTACTATTAGAAAAGTGTGACGCGAAACAACGAAGTCATCGACAAGCCGAATGTAAAATGGCCACAGCAGTTTTGGGGTCATTTTTCGATATGCGCAGAAGGTGTGCACGACAGATTTTCACGGTACCTATAATAAATTTCGACTTCGAATNGGGGGGGGGGGGAAAAACTTTTAAAAAAAAAAAAAAAATCAAGGCCCCACAAAATTTCACTTCCTCCCCCCCTTGTCCCAAAGGGTCACAAATCCCCCACCCCCCCCCCCTTTCTCCCACTGTACGTGACGTAATTTGCGAAGGACTCCCTTATTGGAAGCCTAACACGCCCCCCCCCCTCACCAATGACAGAACATGAACATTTTTTTCCGCGTTTTTTCTTATTTAATTAGATTTTTTCTTCATTCCTTTGTTTTGAAATTTAAAAAAAAAATAAGCTTTAAAAATCATTAAGTTGCCATCTCTAAACCTGCATCAATCTTTGGCTGCCGCCTCGGATACTACTTTTCAGGCAAGTGCTATTTTTAAAAATTTAATTCTGGTTTTTTTTCTGTTGTTTATTCGCTGACGAAGGCTTCCTGTCGACACGTTCGTCGTTGTGCTGCGCTCCTTTTTCAGGTTTTCAATATTTTTTTTTCTTTTACTCCAATTCCCTCTAATCCCGCAGGACCTCTGTTGGGCAACATCGCCACGTTCTCCATCTCCGGACTCCTGTGCCAGTACGGGTTTGACAACGGCTGGGGATCCATCTTCTATCTGTCCGGTAACCGATACTCCATTGACGCATTTAACCGAAACTGGTCTTTAACAGGGGTCTTGATATAAAGAACGCAGCTTTCGACGTAAATGATGTTTTCACGTGTGTGTTTCTAGAAAGGGACCTATAAATACGACCCACCTAATAGGACACGCCTATGTTATGGTCAAAGATGTCATTTTTCATTAGGGCACCGCCCTTCATCAGAAGAGCTTATAGTATTTTCTTAACACTTGAATGGCGGGGGGCGGGTCATTTCTTTTGTTGGGGTGCGATGAACGGGAAAGAAATTACGAATTAAAGAAAGAAAAAAAAAACGTGTAAAATAAACAGCTGTGTTATCGTAACAAAGAGAAAACGTGAAATTCTGAGTGGGGAACGAGACTGAAACGTCTATTTTAGTATGGCGACTAAAAAAAAAAAGATGAGCCTGTTTTAAAATGTCAAAAAAAAACAACAACAAAAAAAAACTTTCTAAAATAAAAGTAAGACATATTTTAACTTAACTCACCTGGACATAGTGTTGATGCCATGTGTCCAGGGCGTGCCCAGTTAATCCAATAAATATAATATACTATGTCGCTTACAAAACAGGGCTGTTCAACTTGTTGTGGGTCGTGGCCTGGTTCCTGTTCACAGCCGACTCCCCTGGACAGCACACGTATATCTCCGAGAGGGAGAGGGTGTACATTGAATCATCGATTGGCAAAGGCGGAATCAAGAAGGTAGGTCAAGGCCATAGGACCACTCCCCCCTCCCCCCTCCCCACACATTTATTTGGCTGGCAGAGTTTGTTGCTTCATATATATAAATCATCTGTATCAAAAATCATATGTTTCATTTAAACTTTGTAATATTTTACATACTCCACCGTTTCTTACCTCCATCTTCAGGTGCGCAAAGTCCCATGGTTAAAAATGTTCACCTCCGGTCCGCTGTGGGCTGTCATCACAGGCCACATGTGTAACAACTACGTCAACTACACTCTGTTGACGTCGCTGCCCACATTCATGAAAGAAAGTCTCAATTTTGACATCAAGCAGGTCAGGCTACTTCCCTACAAAAATTCGTTATTTGTAAGATTGGAATATTGAAACAGACCTCGTCTATTATGAAAGTAAGCCAGCATTACCAGCTGAAATAAATGGAGGGCGTGTGTTCGTAACGTGGACAAATAGAGTTTGGGTGCCCACTAAAACTAGGTGTGAACTAGAACTAGGTCAATCAGAGTCCGTGTGTCCAATTAAACTAAGAGTCCAATAAACTAGGTCAAATAGAATACGGGTGTTCAATAAAACTAGGTCAAAGAGAGTGCGGGTGTCCAATAAAACTAGATCAAATAGAGTACCGATATCCAATCAAAACTAGGTCCAATGGAGTACTGGTTTCCAATAAAACTAGGTCAAATAGTTTATGGGTGTTAAATTAAACTAGGTCAAAATTCATTCAAGTAAGTTGTCATACTATGAAAACTCTAAAAAGTGTAATGAAACAAGCAGCAATATCAATTTCTCCCATCTTTGCCCAATCAACAGAATGGCCTGCTGTCCGCCCTGCCCTACGTGTGTCAGTTCATAGCGTCTATCGCCGTGGGCTGGGTGGCCGACACCTTCAGGGAGCGGGGCATCATGTCAACAAAGATGGTCAGGAAGTCTTTTCAAGTGTTCTGTAAGTCCCTCGGCCAGGCTAGGGAAAATAAAAGAGCTGTCCCTCCCCGATCCATTCATAGACATGTTGTAACTTTTTGCCATGTGTGATTTCTTTCAATCGATTCTTTTACACGTTTTCGATACACCGTCATAACACCGAATTGAACACAAGTCCTTTTTCCAATAGTAATGTAACTTTAATCTATACATTCCAACGGACTGTACATCTAATAAAGCACCATTATAGCGCAGCTCGCTATAAGAAAGATATAATAATAATCAACCATCCGCTACAAGGCTCTTTCGACGACTGCCCGTACGACAAAGACAGTCTAGACTCTAGACCAGGCCTGCACAACTGATATTGTTAGGCGGGCCGTAAAACTTTATGTTACACCTGTTGACTTGCTACATAAAGAGAATTACGGTTATCCGATTTACGTGAAAAAAAAAGGAAGTGGGAAGGGGGGGGGGGGCAAGCTATTAAGAAAATAATAATTTAAAAAAAAAATGTCGTTACTTCGCGGGCCGCAAAGCGGGTGCTTGCGGGCCGCATGTTGCCCGCGGGCCGTATGTTGTGCAGGCCTGCTCTAGACAATTCTTCCTAATTACAATGAAAATGAAGTCACCAAGCAAGTGGCGGAAAGGGCTTTCATTAACTATCCCCAGTTTAAAAAACACACCGCGCACAATGAAACACAATATTCGGTGCGCAAATTTGTGTTAGTGAATTTACATCTTCGAAAACAAGACGGTTATAGGATTTAAAAAAAAAAGATAGTTGAGTTGATGCCTGAATATAATTTTCCCCTCTTCTCCAAACAGCTTTTCTCGGCACGGCCGTGTGCATGGCCAGCGTCGGACAGATGAACTGCGAGCAGCGTCATTTCGCCGTCGCGTTGCTCTGTCTCTGCACGTCCTTCATGAGCTTTAACAGGGCCGGATATGTGGTCAACCACCTTGACCTTGCTCCAAGGTAATTTATTTGTACGCCTTGCGTGCAATTGTAAGACGCTAAGAAATTTCGTGCTAGATGTTTAAAACAAGTTAAACTATGCGACCCTGTGTGGTTAGTCTTGCAATTTCAAACTTAGAGACACACTCGTACGTTCCCTGGATTCCTACTTTTAGAGGGTGACTGAAATACTATTATTTTCTTGACATGTCATAACCTCTTGACCCCGCCCCTTAACTGCAATGGGTTACCCTTTAACTGCAATGGAGTAACCTATTAACTGCAATGGATTAACCTTTTAACTGCAATTGATTAACCCCTTAACCGCAATTGATTAACCAGTTAACTGCAATGGATTAACACCTTAACCGCAATGGATTAACCCTTTAACTGCAATGGATTAACCCTTTAACTGCAATTGATTAACCCCTTAACTGCAATTGATTAACCCGTTAACTCCAATGGATTAATACCTTAACTGCAATGGATTAACCCTTTAACTGCAATTGATTAACCAGTTAACTGCAATTGATTAACCATTTAACTGCAATTGATTAACACCTTAACTGCAATGGATTAACCCTTTAACTTCAATGAATTAAACAACTGAAAAGGCTAAACCTGTTAATTGAAATAGATTAATCCCTTAACAACAATGGATTAGACTTTAACTGCAAGGGATTAACCCCTTAGCTGACATGGATTAATCAAGTTTTTTTTGGGAGGTCTCATAAAAAATTTAAAAAGAAACAAATTATCTTTAAAAAAAATAAATGACGTCATAGTTCATGTTGAGCATAAAGCCTGGTGTGTGACGGGTTGTTCTTGTTTTTTTTAAAAACATCACACGGTCTTGCAGTTCAGGGCATCAGCTCTCAAATACAAACACATTATTTAATCCAGCAGATTGAGCTCGTAACCAGTTGAGTTTAATTGATATCTCTCAAACAGCTACGCTGGTATCTTGTTCGGCATCACCAACACAGTGGCGACCATTCCTGGCATGGTGGCGCCCGTCATAGCTGGCGCCCTGACACCTAATGTAAGTCAAGCATATTAACTTTAAAAACAAATACATATATATATTTTTTTTTAAAAATCAGTCTCAATCATCTAAATTTAGTAAAAGCTCCCGAGATGCTTAATTCATTTGCTATTTCCCCCCTTTGAAACATAAAATTAACACACTACGACATATAAATGCGTGATATTGTTTCCCATATATTTTTGGCCCCTTTGCAATGTTAACAAATAAAACATCAAATATCTGAAAATGCATCTCGTGTTTTCCGGAACTAGAGAACAGCCGAAGAATGGAAGGTCGTGTTCTACGTCTGCTCGGCCATCGCTGCTCTTGGCGCGGTCATCTACTTCATTTTAGCCGACGGCGAGCTTCAGGAGTGGGCCGTCCCGACGGAAGCCAATCTCAAATTGGAAATACAAGTGCACCGCTCCCAGGACCGAGAGCTGGAGAAGTACTCTGAGGACCATGGCGAGAAACTCGCCGATGGTCTGGACGGACGCAAAGAAAAAGTTTTACCATTAGTTTATAAGCCCCATGGTCGCATGAGCTAAAGAGTTGTTAAAATCAACACCTTTAATTCAAAAAAAAAAAAAAAATCAAAAAAAAAGTTTTAACATTAGTTTATAAGCCCCATGGTCGCATGAGAAAAAGAGTTCTTAAAAAAAACACCTTTAATTAAAAAAAAAAAAAAAAAAAAAAATCAATTTAGACCTCTCACTGTTGAAATGTGTGTTACACATTAGTCAGTATAAGAGTCGATTTTTGTATCGTCATATGAAGTTAGTGCCTTGTCACCGCCCGCTACTTGGCGGGTTATTTCTAGTATTATTTAGAATGATACAACTGAGAACGTGTGTGTGTGTGGGTGTGGTGTGTGTCTGGGTGTGGTGTGTGTCTGGGTGTGGTGTGTTTCTGGGTGTGGTGTGTTTCTGGGTGTGGTGTGTTTCTGGGTGTGGTATGGTTTTAAGTGGCAAAATGTATGAAACTGTAAGTTATAAAAATAAGAATTAATATATATATATATATATATATATATATATATATATATATATATATATATATATATATATTGGCAGATTGAGTGTGCATATTGACAAATGGAGTAGCGACATTTAACTTTATGATACACGAACATTAAGAGACTACATTAAACAAATAGTTCAAATAAATGATGTAGTTTGTTTTTTTCTTCCCACGGTAACATGTTCTTGCATTCAAAACACACGGGTATTGCTTATCTGATCCACTAAATGTTATTTTGTAAAGACAAAAAAGAAATTAAAGTCCAGTACCTCTCTCCTATTATTCGAAAAAGGTATGTGTTTACAATAAAATAAGATCTTGTAGTTCTTTAAAATGCCGCATTACTGCAATTCTTTGTTAAACTTCGTTTAATTTTCTTTTAATTTGAAATAACATGATCGTTTTTAACAAGAAAAGTAACGTTTAACAATGGACAGGGCCACATGTTACCCCGGGGTCGTAGGTTTCAGGGTTGGTGCAGACGGCCACATGTTACCCCGGGGTCGTAGGTTTCAGGGTTGGTGCAGACGGCCACATGTTACCCCGGGGTCGTAGGTTTCAGGGTTGGTGCAGACGGTCACATGTTACCCCGGGGTCGTAGGTTTCAGGGTTGGTGCAGACGGCCGCATGTTACTCCAGAGTCGTAGGTTTCAGGGTTGGTGCAGACGGCCGCATGTTAC